TCATACTTCTGAAACTGCCTTATAAGCTCAGAGACAAGTGGAGGAATAGGGCAATGCAGCTACAAGAGCAGCATGTACGACGAGCTAGATTTTCTGACCTGGTAGACTTCATAGAGAGAGAAGTGAAGGTACTGTCAGATCCGCTTTTTGGGAACATCCAAGATCCTAAGCCAGCTGTAACTGTCAAAAGCTCTACTTCATTTAAACCAAGAGGAAAGTCAGGACCAAGAGGAAGCAGTTTTGCAACAACTGTAACACCCATTGAAACACCAGAACAATTAAATGTGACAAGAAATGTATCAGCCCCCATTTATCAAAGTTGTTTGTTCTGTAATAGGAGTGGTCACACATTGATGCAGTGTCCACAGATCAAGAAAAGAATGCACAGAGAAAAAAATAGACTTCCTAAAGGGAAAGGGAATCTGTTTTGGATGCTTGAAAATAGGACCCATGAGCAAAGATTGCAAAAGTCGATTACTTCACATTGAACAAAGGGAGAAAGAGAAAACTTGAACATTCAGAAATGAATGAGAGACCAACTGTGGTACTGCTGTTCTCTCACCTCATACATGTGGGCATATTGGGGCCGGTGAGGAAAATTGCATCTTCTCTATTGTACCAGTACAAGTAAAGAGCCCAAAGGGAGACACAGTGCTGCAAACATATGCATTCTTGGATAATGGAAGTTCATCTACCTTTTGCACAGAAAGTTTAGTGAGAAGACTGAATATAACAGGACAAAGAACCAGTATTCTTTTGCAGACCATGAATCAAGTGAAACAGGTGACCAGTCATCATATCTCAGGTTTGGAGATATCTAATCTGGACAAAGACAATTTCTTTCTACTACCTGATGTGTTTACACATAGGACTATGCCTGTTTCCCAGCTGAACATTCCCAGACAAGAAGACCTCACAAAATGGCCTTATTTGAAAGATATCAAAATCAATGAAATAGACTCTGGCATTGACCTACTGATTGGACAAATAATTCAAAGGTATCGGAACCTTGGGAGCTGGTCAATAGCAAAGGAGATGGACCATACGCTGTAAGGACCCTACTGGGGTGGGTCATCTATGGTCCACTGAGAGGAGACAACATCATCAGAGATGCAAATGGCTGTGCTGCTGCTGCTGTCAATCGAATATCCATTGTGAACCTGGAGGAGTTGTTAATTAAACAGTACAACCATGACTTCAGTGAAACCAGCAAGGAAACAGAGGAAATGTCTAGAGAAGAGGTCAAATTCTTGGAAATTGTAAATCACTCTGCAAAAATGACAGATGGACACTACTGTATAGACTTGCCTTTCAAACAAGAAAATCCCACCATGCCAAATAACCGTTGCATTGCAGAACAGCGCATCCAGAGCCTGAAACGCAAATTTGTCAAAAATAAGAACTTTCATGATGAATATATCTTTTCTGACAGAAATGATAAACAATGGTTATGCTGAGATGGTTCCACTAGATCAGCTGAAGGGAAGTGATGGAGAGCTCTGGTACATACCACATCACGGGTGTATCACTCAAAGAAGGGAACCTTAAGAGTGGTCTTCGACTGTGGTGCAGTCTTCAAAGGAACGTCGCTTAACTGCCAACTGCTGAAAGGTCCAGACCTCACCAACTCACTCATCGGAATTCTCATCAGATTCAGACAAGAACCGATTGCTTTACTGGCTGAATCAAAGCAATGTTTCACCAAGTCAAAGTAGCAGAGAAGCATATTGATTATCTGCGATTCCTGTGGTGGCCTGACGGTGATGTGCAGAATGATCTTGTTGAGTACAGGATGAATGTACATCTATTTGGGGCCGTGTCATCACCAAGTTGTGCAAACTTTGCATTGAGAAAGACTGCGGAAGACAATAAAGCTCACTTTCCAGCAGAGGTAACAAACACAATACTCAACAACTTCTATGTAGATGATTGCTTGAAATCTACATCTTCAGAACAAGAAGCAATTCAAATGGTAAGAGACCTGACTACCCTTTGTGGAAAGGGGGGATTCATACTGTCAAAGTGGATCAGCAACAACCGTGCTGTATTAGCATCCATATCTAAGACTGGAAAACGATAACGATTAAGTGCATGTTGCATTCATATTAGGAAAATCCAGAGTTGCACCTTTAAGACAAATGACGATTCCAAGAATGGAGCTCACAGCTGCAGTCCTAGCTGTACGAGTTGACATAATGTTGCAAAGAGAATTACATCTTAAATTGGACAAATCCATCTTCTGGACTGATAGCACAACAGTGCTAAAATACATCAACAACGAAACAAAACTCTTCCAAACCTTCGTAGCAAACAGGATCTCCTTCGTAAGGGATAATACAGAAGTTACACAATGGAGGTATGTTAGCTCAAAGGAAAACCCTGCAGATGAAGCCTCCAGAGGACTAACAGCAGAGCGCTTCTTAAGCTGCAAGAGATGGATCACAGGACCAGAGTTTCTCTGTAATCAACAACAAGAATGGCCAAAACCTTACTTGGCAACGACAATCTCTGGTCATGATCCAGAAATCAAACAGGACATCACAATAAATACTATTGTCACCAACCCAATGAATCCCACAAACACTCTGATCAACTATTTCTCATCATGGATGAATCTCACAACTGCTGTAGCTTGGCTTCTCAAAGTAAAAACAACCCTCTTACAGCTGACTCAAAAGAGAAAGGAGATTCAGACCACGGTGAGTGACTTTGAATTGACCCATACAAGCTAAAGGACAAGGTTGAAAAGGAAATGCATGTCTATAAAACAACGCTCCACGGACAGTATTTATGTCCTGAAGATCTTGCCCAAGCCGAAAACGCAGTCATTTCTTTCAGTCAAAAACAAATTCAAGGAGGAACTCTCTGTACTCGAATCTGGCAAAATTGTGTCAAAAGATGCAGTCATTTGTACAAACTAGATCCTGTGCTGGATAATGGACTTTTAAGAGTAGGTGGTCGCCTGAACAAACTAGCGATGCCTGAAGAGTCCAAACATCCAATTATTCTCTCAAAAGACCTTCACATATCCACACTATTGTTGAGAAACATCCATGAACAACTCGGACATGGGGGAAGAAATCATATGCTGTCTCGCCTCCGCAAAAAATACTGGATTATCAAAGCAAACTCCGCTGCAAGAAAAATCATAACAGACTGTGTTGTGTGTAAACGACAGCGAGGAAGAATTGGAGAACAAAAAATGGCAGATTTGCCCCTGGAGAGGATTCTGCCAGATAAGCCTCCATTCACAGATGTAGGAGTTGACTACTTTGGTCCCATAGAAATCAAGAGAGGACGAAGTCTTGTTAAAAGGTATGGGGTAATCTTCACCTGCATGGCAAGCAGGGCAGTACACCTTGAAGTTGCACATACACTTGACACAGATTCCTGCATCCATGCATTACGAAGATTTATCTGTCGACGAGGTCAAGTTTCAACTTTAAGATCAGACAATGGCACAAATTTTATTGGAGCGGAAAGAGAATTGAGGGAAGCACTGAATTGCTTGAATCAAGACAAAATCAACAGTGCTATGCTTCAGCGAGGGATAAAGCGGTACTTTAACCCCCAGCAGGATCCCATCACGGCGGTGTTTGGGAACGACTGATCCGCATGGTTCGACTTGTGATGCGCTCTGTTCTTAACCAACAAGTTCTTGATGATGAAGGATTGCAAACTTTCATTTGTGAAGTGGAAGCAATATTAAATGATAGACCCATAACCAAAATTTCTGACGATCCAATGGACCTGGAAGCACTCACACCAAACCATCTTCTTTTGTTGAAAACCAAGCCAGTACTACCACCTGGACTCTTTGTAAAGCAGGATCTATACATTAAACGCAGATGGAGGCAGGTGCAGTATATGGCAGATCTCTTCTGGAAGCGGTGGATACAGGAGTACTTGCCGTTAATCCAAGAAAGACAACGATGGTCTAAAGAAAGAAGAAGCTTTTCTCCAGGTGACATTGTTGTGGTGGTTGATTCCACTGCTACCCCGAGGTTCCTGGTTAATGGGCAGAATCCTGGAGACTAAACCAGATGCACAAGGTCTAGTGCGCACAGTGAGACTCCAGACAAAGAGCAACATATTGGAAAAACCAATAACAAAGATATGTCTGCTCCAAGAAGCTGTAACCTAGTTATAGCAAGGACTGGTGGTAAAGACCATGTCCAACAGGTGCTATGTTCTAGAACCTCTGGCCCTAAAAAATGAAAGACTAAAGGAAGAAACGAGGAGTGAAGAATCACTAAAAGAAGATTACATGCCAACACATAGCACATAACTTTTTTGAAAACGTATAAAGAAAAAAAAAGGGAAAATCTTATGTACTGTTTATAGCTCCTTTTTATTATTATTTTCTTTTGTAGATTTAATTGTTTGTTTATTTACTTATAACAATTAGGGGCCGGTGTGTAGGAGCCATTTTGTGTTTATCGTTGGCATGTTTTATAATTAGATTTATCTGAATATATTATTTTCCAATAGGGACACTGAATGCACAGGGGCGTGTATATATAGTAGCACAGGTGACAGGAAAGGGAGGGCACAGGTACGGGGAGCACAGACAGTTCTCACCAGACCGGCATTCATGTTTCAGACCAGCACTCAGACAAACTACAATTCATTCATTCTACTGGCTACGCTTCACTGGAAATGGTATGTTTTTTGGTTCTCATATCTCCATCAAGTCACTTCAATAAACCTTCAACTCAACTTTAATAACGGCTGGAAAATTATTGCTTGCATCTGCGTAAGACTTCACCCCCACCTGTGTATTATTGGCAAGAATTGGAGCAAAGGAAAAAATTGGAAAATTGCCATTACACATATAATACATATATATAATCCTTAGTATGTTGTTATGAGTTCAGTGACTTTCTCTGTATGATCACTGTGTGCAGGTTGATGATTAAAAACAAGAAAATCAACACATTATGGTGTTCAGGACTCTTTTTTTAGCTTGACAGTTTGGTGATTAAAAAAAGCTCTCTTACTGTGGATCTGAGGGTCCTGGTTCATTACTGAAGACTGGAGTACGACGTTTAGACCGGTCACTCTTCATAGAGAGACAGCTGGACAGAGGAGACTCTGCTCTGTCCTCCTCTTTGTCTCCTCGATCACTCATCTTCTGATCTGAGGGTCCTGGTTCATTACTGAAGTCTAGAGGAAGATCTTTAGACAGTCACTCTTCATAGAGAGACAGCTGGACAGAGGAGACTCTGCTCTGTCCTCCTCTTTGTCTCCTCGATCACTCATCTTCTGATCTGAGGGTCCTGGTTCATTACTGAAGAATGGAGGACGACGTTTAGACCAGTCACCTTCATAGAGAGACAGCTGGACAGAGGAGACTCTGCTCTGTTCTCCTCTTTGTTTCCTCGATCACTCATCTTCTGATCTCCAGATTGATCAGAGGACAATAAAAGACGTTCATGCAGGTAAAACAACCTGAGGACAAAATAACAAACAGGTGAGACACAAGCAGGAAAAATGTGAAAGACAGAAATGGTCAAGTGTCCACATCTCATTACCTGATGTGATCCTTCATTTGATTTTCTCTTCCTTCCTGTCTGCCTAAGTACCTGATGCAGCACCTCAGTGCAGTTTGTTTTGATCCTAACATGATTTGTCCGTCTGATCTGCCCTGAATAATGCCAATAACAAGACATTGAGTCTTAAACTTTAAACATTAAACTAACATGTTAGTATTTAACAGCAACCATGACCTTTAGGACATTTGTACAACTAGAAGTGTATAAAACAGGGTTGGAAATCAGCACTCGTCACATACGGGTGTCTTTTTGCAGTGGCGGGTGAATTTACTCAACCTACCGACCACAGTGGCAGAGCGAGGGTCACAATGGTGCTCTATATGCTGGATTTGGCAGTGCCTGTTTTAAATACGATATGATGCTCTTTATTGTCCTCACGGTGAAATTTGTCTTGGGCTCAAAGTGCTGCACACATTCAGCTATCTTCACAATAGAATCCATTGCAAAGCAATAGAAAAACACATCGACATGTAAACAGAAAAGATGCATATAACATATAATGCATCAGCTGCTGCTGAAGTCAGGACAGGACTTCTCGTTTTCTTGGTGACATTTATTTGATTTAAAGAAAATATTAAACACAGAGCTGAAACACACCTAACGGACATTACAGAGGGAAGCAGACGTTAACTATGGTAACCTAGCAACAGTGAGGGAGAGAGTGCAAGGAGAAGCGCTCTGAAACGGAGGTTGTGGACACAGGCCCTAATTCGATCATACACAGGTTCTATTTTTAACAAATTCTCAACAATGGAAGTTACTGGTTTAAACATTGTGGACGTGCTTTTACTGTGAAATAGCTATACAACAGTTTGATCAGGAGCTGCAGCCTCTAATTTTCTAACCTCATTATTCATGTAAGGATCTGATTGGGCGGAGCTGCTATGATAATGGGGTGCTGCGCTGATTGGCTGCACTTACAACAGCATGTCACTGAGTGGTACGTTAAGGGTGCACTCACACGAGCAAAGTTGTCCTGTCCACTGGCCTGCACTCACACTGCTCCAGGACTAACCGGCCTGAGCATGGTTACCCCTTACTTCGCTCCTCAAAACATGTGTGTGAAGTTTCTTGTTCTAAATCCACTCTGATCCTGTATTTTATCATGTCTATAAACCCCTCTATTTCAGTCCTGCTCAGAACAGGCTGTTTCTGTGTCTGTACCTTTAAATATGTAAATGAGCTGTGTCTGACCATGCCCCCTCTCTGAAGGGCTCGGGTGTACTCGGTCTTTCTCGCTCCATGTCCAATTGTTTACGGTGAGAAGGCAGACTCAGAGGGCAGAACAAACACCTAGCTGTGGGAGTGTCACCCACCTGGGGAGGGGCTACTGCCCTTTGTGATGTCATGAAGGGAAAATCTCCAAACGGCCTGTTTGAGCACACATTTTCTGAAAAGTGGAGCAGGTAAAAGACGGAGAGGATGGACTTTTCCCATCATTGGGGGTTTGTAGACAGACTAGAGACACATATTAGAGGAACATGGGGAAGTGGATTTTGTATAATTTGTGACCTTACTGTTGATTTGTAAATGAGGTTATTTAAATGAAGCTGGTCAAGAATTTTACTTTGGAAAAACAGTTGAATCATCTCCAGTGTTTCATTTTGTCAATATTATTCAAAATGATATTCTTACATACAAATGTTCATACCTAGTTGGATAGCTTGCAGTGTTGTCTCTCCCCAAACCCCACAAAATATAGTTTCAATACAACATTGAACAGAGCTGATCAAGACACGACATGAACTAGATAGCTTCATCCTCAAACTCCAACATAACACACCCAGTTGCAGTTGCATGGATCCCTGTACACGAACAAGCAGAAACCAGAAACTTGTGGTATGAAATGCAGAGAAACCGGACTGACTAGCGTTTGTTGGCAGTGTACTGCAGAGCTACGCAGACACACCAACGCACAAATATGTAACGCTAACAATGGTGGAGTTTCAACGCAGAAGTAGCCTATACTGGTAAAACAGCTTTAACCAGACATCATGTTGTAGACAAGATGCGACTGTACATTGAAATGCCATAGAAACGCAACACTACACTTGTGTAATAGGACTGAGGTGAATATCTGACAGTAAAAATAACAATTTTTCATGTAAAGCTTTGGCTCCAACCCCGATTCTCCTCGACTTTTCTGTCTGATTGACACTGACTAATAACATCCTAACAAGTGGGAAACTGAGAGAGAAGGTAAATCCCTGAGTATAATCTGAGGCTAGCTGTGATTGCCTTCAGTTGAACATTAACAAGGTGATCACTTTAGTTTGGTGTTAAGCTTGTGATTGTGGCACAGAAGAAAATGTAGGATATATGTAGTTTTTATTTCAAAGACACATTTCTATGTTATGACAGTTGAATGAATGTTCAAACAGATGTAAAAAAATAAACAGTACTCACCGGTGTTAAACTGAAAATCTGCTGTTTAGTTGAGAAAAACTTGATGAATTGGGTTGGATTTGTCTTTGGAGAGAGATGGAGAGACTTTTCTAGACTGCAGCTCTGCTGTGGCTCAAATAAACTGTTACTTTCATATCAGATAATGTGATGTTGAAGCATCAGTGTTGCTCCTCCTCTCAGTGTCACTATAAGGGAGGGTTTAATGCGTCTTTGGAAAACACATGACGAAGCTACAAATAGCTTTCGTAAAGCATGAATGTTTTTTCATGAATGGAAATGTCAGTCTTTACACTCTGTAAGTCATGAACACAGAGCCACCTGCTGGACAAAGATTCAAAGCTTGATCCAAACAGCAGCCGAGCTCTTATCCAGCTGCTTCAAAGTGAGCAGCCTGATGACTCTGCTGGAGCCAGATTCACACGTAGCCCCGGCCGGGTCACACTCCTGTTCAGGTTTGATCTCTAAAGAGAGAGAAACTGGTCTGTAAGGCATTCAGATATAAACTACTGTAGGGTAGAGGTCACCGAGGGGCGGGCTGGAACAAAGAAAGATCACTTGTAGTCTGTCTGTTGATGTCTCAGTATTTTTGCTGTCTTTCTTTTCTTATTGTATTTTGTCGTTGCTGTCCTGACCTTGTCTGTTTGTTTTTTCTGTGCCTTATTTGTCATGTATATGTCACCAGTTTGTCACGCTATTGCACCTCATTAAATGAATGAATGAATAAAAACCATTCCTGAGATAATCCACTGCTGGTACGGAGGTGCTCTCTGCCTCCTGTGTGTGAACAAAGAGTGTGTGTGTGTTTGAAGATACAAGTATATCCATCTCACATAGAACTGTGTTTGTCTTTGATTGAAATGGGGGCGGCAGTTGCGGTAGAGGGTCGCCGGTTCAAGTCCCTGGCCTGGTAGCTGGAGAGGTGCCAGTCCACTTCCTGAGCACTGCTGCCCTTGAGCAAGGCACTGAACCCCAAAACTGCTCTGGAGCGCTCGCTGTGGGCCGCCCCCTCACTCTGAGACCTCTCCATTAATGCATGTCCACAGGATCCTGTTTGTTCATGTGTGTGTTCATGTTTATTAAACAGAGTGATTCATAAAGGATCAATTCAAAATGAAATATGAAACACACATTGTGAGTGTGTGTAGTTGTCAAACTGAAAGCAGACATCACAGCCGTTTTTACATCTGCACTCCTGAAAACATGGAAATCATTTGAGGAGGACTGCTCCTGACTGCAGACGCAGCACTGAGGGAATGCTACTTTCAACATCAGGCTACTTTTAGAAAATGACCAACCCTGCCTTTAAGCGTGATATTGATTTGAGGTCATATCGCCCCGCCCTGCTAACCAGGCTACCGGAGCAGCAGCAGCACGGCGCCATGCTTCCTCTCCTGAACACAGACAGAAGAGAGGGAGTTGTTTTGATACAGCTGATCATTCAAATATCTAAAAGAAGTGATCATTCAGATTGGGAAATGTACCAACCTTCCTTGTTTGTGTGACTTTCAAATAAAACACAGTCCTCTCAACCTCACACAGTCCATGTTTTCTTGAAGAATAATTCTCTCAGGTGTTCAGAGTTCAGGTGTGTAGCTCCAGACGCCGCTGCAGCTCAGGCCGTAGTTCTCCTCTCTCACACTGTCGGGCAGCTCAAACTGAGCCAGCGGCCTCAGGAGGCGTCGGACGGCGTGCTCCTCAAACTGAGCTCTTCCTGGATCTCCGATTAGGACTTTGGTGCCGTGGGTCTCCATGCAGCGGTTCAACCAGCTGTGCAGGCTGGTGGCGAGGGACTGGTCGTAGAACATGTCGCCCAGCAGGATCAGGTGGAAGGCGGCGGGCGGTGAACCGATGATGTTGTGGGTGAGACACACAGGAGGCTGCAGGCCGTTCAGCTCACTGTTCATGTGCGTCGCCACGGCTGCCACTGGAACACAAACAGGCGGGTTAACACGTCACAGGGTTAGGCTTCAAGGAATCATGGTGTTCATGTGTTTCTTTTAATCACAGCAGTCTATATACAGGGTTCACACTCTTTTCCAGGGATCATTTTCCAGGACTTTTCCAGGACATTTTCAGCCATGATGGAGCTGGTATGACAGTCCGTGATCGTGCCACGCCAATATTAAGTGTAGTCTTTAACAAGGTTAATCACACCCACTGTGAGCTACCGCTTCAACGGTTAAACATTTAATATCATGTTAAGGTCCATTTTTTACACTTAACAACGCAGTATTATATTTGAAGAGACAATGCTAGCAAACAAGAAACTTTCAATGGATTCTTGTTCCTCGTGTCCCTGGCTGTACCCCTGAGAAGTTTCAGAAGATTTTACTGGAGACTTTTTTGAATTATTAAAGTTGAATTCTGGTCAAATTGCATAGAGACGCTGATATTTTAGAACATTTTAATTCATTTTTCTAAAAAACAAGAAAC